AGGGTAAGCTCTAAGTAGGAAAAAACAAGTGATAAAGTTGTTTTGACTGCAGGAGGTGGAGCTGAGCAATGCGGCGTGGTTCCCTGGGATGTACTGGTAACACCACAGATGCCCCCCGCTCCAAGCTGGAGCGGGTCCCATTCCCCTGCTCTGTCTGGGCCCAAGGACCAGCTCCACCAGAGTCGAGTCGCAATGGCTTAAGCCTTACACACCCCTTCCCCCCACCCCTTTTTTCCCATGGCAATACAGAGCCTGTGCTTTGGAGCACAGATCCATACATGGAGTCAAAGCAGAACTCTTCTCATAACCTTCCTAGTGCTGAGATTAAGCAGCTCAACCCAAATTAAAGTCATGCACAGCTTCTGCCTTACATAGTTACAGGAGGTAATGTGCCTCACCTCTCCACGTTCCAGGGGGAAACACTTCCTCCTATTGTGTAACCTACTGGAGTAGACACTACTCCTCTTGTTCATGTCTGCTCCGGGTGGAGTAGACGCATACGGATGAGTTGATCTTCAGTACATTTCATGCCTGGAATGAGACATTCTACTGAAGAGCTGAACTCAACTTAGGCATGGCAGTGGGGCTGTGTTCACCCCTGCACCCCAGCCCCCCCATTTCACAGCAAAAGAATCTAATAATTATACTCTTGGAGCAAGCCAATGCTACAGCAGTTGGTTCAGTGAAGGAGAGATGATGCTGCCAGAAGCACTTCTATTTTTTTATTATTTTTTTGCCAGAATTGCAACTTCTACCTTACTAGGGTGTTGCTAGTGCTGCCGTACCACTGTAGCTGAAATTAAACATAGGGGAAGGTTTTATGACCTCAGATTATTTTACCTCCTACAATCATTAAAATGAAAAAAGACAAACTTCAGCCCCTTGCTCATTTAGTACTAATGAATTTTTTCATTTGTGACCATCAGAAAGCCTTACCAGACCTTGCCCTGTGCAAGACCACTCAGCACTACAGCTTTCAACCCACCCATGAGCTGCAGGTGCCCAAGCACAGCCCCCAGCCAGGATGAAAAAACAAACAGCAAGCCCTCCCAAAGAGCCAGGATGGATTCTTGTAGTAGTAACTTGCTCTCCAGAAGGCAGGTTAGGAAAGAAACAACCAACCGCACACGCCACAACACGCACTTCTACTTCAACCAGAAGTTAAACTGGTGTCCAAAACCGGATGCAATAGTAAACAGAGAACGTGCTTCCACTGCAGCATCTGGCTCTGTGCTAGGAGCTGCTGTTCAGACTGGGAAGTACCTGGAGCAGGCAGCTGCCTGACGATTCGCATCTGAACAGACAGAAGGCTGCAGAAGTGTTGTTTTCTGGTCTCTAGCTTGTTTCATTGGGCCAGATATGGTATTTTAGATCTAAGCTATCTTCAGTATTTCTCAGCAGCCAAATTGTCACCCTGAGAACCCCCTTCTCAGCATCCACCTAGCCTGCCAAGAGCCAAAACTAAGTTTTCACCCTGCCTCTCTTCGTGCAAGCAGCTCAGCACTGCTGTGCCAACCACAGCACCACGGCCTGGATCTCCAGCCATTGGAGATAGACTCAGGAGTCCACCAGGCTCTGGCGCAGCCCACAGCTGCAGCAGGCAGGGACACAGCTCGCTTGGCTGTGGTTTGGGCTTATATGCAGCAGAGGGAGGCTGGGCTTCAGCCTTTGCTCCCAGCCTGTTGTTCCAGGAATGTTTGCTGAAGAAAGCCCTTGCCCAGCTCCCAGGCTCAGCAGCCAAGGGAGCTCAGCCTGGAGTTAGGCACAACTGAAATTTAAGTTGCACCTTATCTTGACAGCCTTTTCTGTGACAGCTCTTCATTTATTACCATGCTGCCCACCGCAGTCCCTTCAGTGTTTCCCACCTTCTGTAGAGCCAGCCCTCTGCTGTTTCAGCATCTCAGCTTCAGGGTGTGCTGCAAACAAGGACAAAGTGAAGAAAGATCGGGTCTAACGTAGGTATTTTGTTAAGGTACAGGCCACTCGAGGACAGATATTGAGGCACTTCTGGGAAGGGGATAAGCAACACATGTGAGAGTAATTCTATATGCCCTTTTTTTTAAGTATAGAGCTCCTGCCTTTCCTCTGCCAGCTGCAAGAGATCCACTAAAAACGAGGTCACATCATGCAGTTGGGCATAATTAGACCCAGCAGTTTCAGATTACTTCAATATACTGGAAGATAGGGAGGGAAAAACCCCAACCTTTATTTTCTGATTCACACCTGTAATAGAGCCAGCAGCTGGCACTCCTGGCTGAGCTCACCCACCCTTTGGTGGCTTCCACAGAGCCTGTCCCAGCTCTGACCACAGGACTCCGAATTCAGGAGAATCCAAGCCCATAAACTGACTTTTTAGCTAATGGAGTGTTCCCAGAGGAAAGAGATGGATACCATTAATTTTCTAAATGCCTGGTCAGTGGGGTGGGGGAGAAGAGGGTACACGTTCTTGCCAACCTGTCAACTCTGTAAAACTCAAAAATGAGAAGTGTATAAAGGGACCAAGCAATCAAAACACATGGTGCAGCTGTGCTCCCATAAATGTAGCAACACACCTGAATCTCAGGTCTTTCACCCCACCACCAAAACGCTTAACAACAAAGCCAATGTTTTCCTTACTACTGCTGCATGTGGAAAAAGACACTTTTTATTTAATGCCCCACTGGGCTCCTTGTGCCAACAAGCTAAGGACTTCTTCCCTAGCCAGCGTGGAATTTCTTCTCTGTCCTGTACCCATCTCCCACACTGCTGCAGGAACAACCATGTACAGAGGAGAGCTAAAACACCACCTGACCTTCCTCCCCCACTCCAGTGTGTACACAACTTATCCAGAGTGTCCAAAAAAATCCATCTCTGCTTCAGAGTGCACATGGGTATTTGTGTGTAACCCACTGCGTGTGGACTGGTGGAGATGTCCCAAACCTAGGTGCGTCATCTTCAAGGAGAAGATGTAGGTCAGGTTAAGAACAGCCCTTCTCCCACAGAGAAGGTGCCCAAAGAGGAAACAAGCCGTCGGCAAAGCAGCAGGAGAGGGGCAGGCCAGCCAGATGTTCTGGGCAGCAGAGCAGCCCTTGGCACACCGGAACACCAGGTGCCCTCACAGCCTGTGTCACCTGACAAAAAAACAGTCAAAAAACATATGAAGTGAAGCAAAACTCTGAACATTTGTGCACATCCATGACAAAAGGAGCTAAAGATGCCTCTCCTCTCCGCCAAGGGGAGGTCCTGTGAGGGGCCAGGAGAGGGAACAGTGGTGGTGGGAAGGCAGACACAGCGTCAGGAGGTCCCAGTGACCAGTTCTGCACAGCAATGACAATACCAACAGGGCACCAAGGAATGGGAAAAAAAAAAAATCCATTTTGCAACATGGTAAAGGGTTTCTTTTTCTGTTAAGGCCAACCTACCACCTTTTGGACGTGGAAAAAGAGCAGTCAGTGATGAACAGTAAAGTCCAGCACTCTGAGCTCTTGAGTTCAGTCCAGTGACAATCCTGCCTCTCAATATTCAACTTCACACACGCAGAGTTCAAAATCTGCCAAGTTTTCTAGAAAAATCACTCTTAAAAAAGCTTAAACAAACAAAAAAAACCCCACCTCAGAATCTGCCAGGTTCTTTACTGACTTCCCAGCACCCTGGGATACAGGTGGGATAGAAAAATGTAGCAAGAATGTTCCTAAAATAGAGAATGTGCTAAAATCTCTTCATCCTCAGATCACTTAAACAGGCTCATCAGGAGACATACTCCAGATCTGGTGATTCAGGATAAAAAGGACCTTGTCTTTGTGCTTCCCAAAGAGTAAGCTTCCCGAAAGCTCACGGTTCCATTTTTACATTATCCCGAGTTCCCTTTCACCTCCCTCCAGCTGGTCTAAGCCCCAGTGCCAGCATGATGCCAACCCACTGGGACGCAGCAGTTGTGCCTGGAAAGCCTCAGGCCCTGCCCCTGGCATTGCTGCACAGACAAGGACTTGCACGGAAACCCATGGATGGCGCCACGCTTACACTTGGATCCAACACACGGAACGCAACGGCAACACTTCAGCTGTTTCAGTTTCTCTGCGCGCGCGTTCGCGGTGCTGTGGCCACGGGAAAAGGGATTCAGTTTTGCCAAAGGAACTTCCTCATTAGAGTCGCGAAAGAAAGCGCACTGACGCTTGGGTCGGGTCAGGAACAGGCAGCTGGAGGAGATGTTTAATGCTGTTTTCCTCAGTTTCTAGAATCCATTGCTTTACGTATCCGGGATTCTGTCACAGCCAAGACCAAGTTAGGACTAAATATACTCTGTGCTTAACCTGGGAAAGAGGACACGGACCACAGCGTGACCCAGTACAGTGCAGCGTTTAACCTCTGAATTGCACAGGAGGCATCGGCCTCACTTCAACGTAGTTTTGCCGTATCTTTGCTGGATATACCCTGGCACCAAAGTACCGATTGGAACGGCAC